TAGAAATGATTGGCTTGTCGAACGTGCCAAGTTTGAGTATAATTCATTGCCAACATTCATTAACCGAGCCAAATCTTGTGATGAGTAAATCCCTGTCTTTTATTGCATATGAGCGCACATAAACACATGGCCAAACATTGCTGTCCTGCTGTTTCGCCAAATATAAGTTCATTTCCCTGACTATATGGTGCACTTATTGTCATGCTAGGATCTATATAGTATACGTATACAGGTCCAGGATTGGTCTCGATGTCTGAACAAAGCGCAGACTGATGGACATTTATTATGTGATTTAAAGTTTTGTATCAGACCTGTCGCATACAAAAGTCGCGATTGCCAAATGCGGTGTAACAAAAATCAGTGCCAGTGGCACCATTTTTGGGAATTGATGTTGACATATTAACACATTGGAAGGCTTGCATAGTAATGTTTTGCTTTTGAGCAGCCCTTGAGAATCGACTGTTTTCAGAATTCACACCTTCATCTGTACCTTGTGAAGTTATAAATACAATCTGGTGGATTGTCAGCTTATCACGTGTGTCACATTTTGTATGCATTAATAATGTAAACATATTTAAATAACATTTTGAATAAGATTTTGAGAAACGTTTGATGTCTTTGATAGCAACATGATAGTATCTTTCGGTAATTTTGTATTCGTGTGTCATTGGCCTGGTTCGAAAACGCTCAAAATATTTTAGTGTAGGCCTTTTCACGAATAATGCATGTATGTACCCTAAGGTATATTTGCATTTTTTGTACCCGAAGGTATGTTTGTATTCATGAATCATAGACCCAGTTCGAAATCGCTCAGCATCTTTTAGTGTAGGTCTATCACGAATATGTGCACATTCATGCGAGATGAGCGTATCTGAAGATAAAATACATTCTGTATTTACCCTGTGAAACATCTATCAGGCTTCAATCTTGAATCCTTGAAAACTATACAAAAACATTCACGATAGTTTGTCCTTTCACTCCTTGAGCAGAGAATCTTGAGTCCTTGTCGCAAATGTTTCCACTTAAATACACTCAATTTTCCTCAATTTTCCAACTAAATATAGTTCTATAATTCAATGTCGTTGTTTCACATGTTTCCACTTCAATATACTCAAATTTCCTTAAAATCGTGACGTGTCATAATGGAAATTTGTGTACAATGGAGATTTGCGATCTGCGATCCGCGAAAAAAAATGCGTGCCGAAACCTAGAGTCGGTGGGCACCACAGGTGGCCCCACCGACTAATTATAATAAATGCAGTACGTTTGACCCTTGATAACTTTGGTATCATTGGTTGTCTCTTTTTCGGCCGTATACCAGTGGATTCGTCTCACTTCTCGCTTCATTTTGATAGTGTTTTGAGCCCAAAAGCCCCAAAATATTTTATTTTGAACGTTTTAAAGCGCAGTTTAATCCTAGACCAACTGGCTGACTTGTAGGGCCTACCGCTTTTTAGTACTGTGTTATTTTATAAGCCTTTCGCGCTCGTATTGACTTTTCCGCTTAGCTCGGGGAAAACCTTAAATCTCAATTGAAAGAGCTGTGTACTCATATACATTGTACAGTAATGTGCGTAGTTGTATACAGTGGCGTAGCCAGAACGATAATTGGGGGGGGGCATATTCATATATTCGTGTTCACATACCATAAAAACAATTGATTTCAAAAGAAATCAATAAAGCAGAACACGAATATATGAATATGCCCCCCCTCCCAATTATCGTTCTGGCTACGCCACTGGTTGTATAGGCAGTATAGCCCAACTGGTTGTTAATAATGCTCCGTAGAGCGTCTTGTTATCTCTAAATTAACCATGTGTATTTTGCCTGATAATATAGGTAGACATATTTTTGCGAACACATGTCTAATTGAAAAATTAGTGGAAATTCTTGCAGACGATTACCGTATTATAAAATTTGCACAAATATGCAACAGTCAAGTTGACTTCTCTAATAAGATTTGTATAATTTGCGTTATTTGGGGGAAATAATAACCATTTTTGTAAAATACAGTAAATTTAGATCCAATTCGTTTGCGAAATTGCTTTAGAAAGCGCCAGAAATGCAGTCCTGGAGCTTCCAAATAAAATTTTTTCTAGGGGAGGACCCATAGACCCCCTTCACCACAGACCTTCAGTATCATGAAAATTATTGGAGAGGGGCTATTTATTGGGAGGGGCGCAGCATCCGTCCCACCCCTACTTCTGCGGTCCCTGATATGGTGTGACAAACAGAAACAATTTCCTTAATTTTAAAATTATCTAACTTTTAAGGGCCCAGACCACTCCTTGTGTTAAGCAACGAAGCTGAAATAACAATAGAAGCGTTGCAGAGTCCAAATAAAACAAAATCGTTTGTGGGCGATTTGAAAAATGCTTTGGCTGTCGATTATTGGTTGGAAGGAAATTTAGTATTTTGGACAGACACGGTGCTACGAACGATTACGTCAGCGAGTTTGAACGGTACAATGTCAAAAGATGTGGTTAAATTTGGTTTAGAAATACCTTGTAAGTAGTATTTACCAGAAAATATCTGTAAGTCGGCCACTATTTTAACATTGCACACCTTTATACTGCGCATCGTTAAACGAACGTTTGTCGAAAAAGTCTCGACAAACTGCTTTTATGCATTATTTCAGATTTCAAAAGGCAATCAGGCAATGGCTAAGAAAACTTGCATGCTAAAGTTTTATTTTTCCAATTGATATACAAGTACTTTGAGGTTGCCCGTTAATAACATTATTATTATAATAAATATTATTACGTGAGAGTACAGCGCTCATTCTCACAACTTTTATTCCCGCTGAAGCTAGTAAAGCGCCCTATGAAATGCCCTCATATTCCTAAGTGAAGCCTACAGGCAGTAAGTTTTAAATTTCTTACTTTTAATACGAATACGCCAATACTCGACTTCATTTCCAACAGTAATTTACTGCCGTTGCGTTCTAGGTGGTCTGGCTGTGGATTGGCTTGGCAGAAAGATATTTTGGGCAGATTCTGAAAGTGGCAGAATAGAATTGTCCAATTTAGATGGTACTCAGAGAAAAGCGATTTTTTGGCAACCTCTTGGAAGGCTAAGAGCTATTGCGTTACACCCCCATAAAGGGTAAGTATTGTGAAAGACGCATATGTTCATATCCTAAACACGTACAATTATTACCTTTCCCAGCTTGGGTGGGACGTCATTTTAATTTCAAATATCCTTTAAAGGTTTTCTTGTGTTGGTGTTATGTACTCAGGTGAATATGATGTTGATGATGTTACTCTGAGTATATATCCACACCTGGCAAGCTTGAAAAAATCATGATTACTAGATTGCATTGATTTCGAAGGAACTAGACTCAGTTGGCAGAGTATTGGGCTAGTATTCCAAAGGTCGTAGGTTCGACACCCACCGTGGCCAGACATATTTTTCAAGCTTGCCCGGTGTGGATATATACTCAGAGTAACATCACAAACATCATATTCACCTGAGTACATAACACGAACACAGAAAAACAGGGTGTTAGCTATCCCATATACTGTCCATTTGACGGACTCTTCCCAATTGAAGTAGCCAAGGGGCTTTCCCAACTGGGTCTACTGGAAGATTTTCATTTTTTCTGATGAGAAAGTGCATTGCATTTGATTTTATATTATTATATCAAAGAACGTTTTATTTACTTTTTCCATTAACTATTTTTTCAAAATGTATCGCGTTTCATTCATATTGCGTGTGTATTCATTGAAATGAAATGTACAAAACAAAGTGTAATCGGTGTCCATCCGTGTTCATTCACCGGAAATGAAATAGAAAAAACCAAGCCACTGTTGTTTGCCTTGTTTGCATCTAAGAGGACTTTGATCGGTCAAAAAACGTTTACGTTTAACGGACAAAACATTTTTTTCTGGCTAACACCCTGAAAAATCATTATACCTAGATTGCATTGGTATCGAAAGGACTAGACTCAGTTCCGAAATAGGCTATCACATACTCGAACCGGCCTGACCGCGTAGCTCAGTTAGCAGAGCTTTGGGCTAGTATTCCAAAGGTTGTGGGTTCGATTCCCACCGTGGTCAGACATATTTTTCAAGCTTGCCCGGTGTGGATATACACTCAGAGTAACATCACAAACATCCTTTAAAGGGATGTGGCAATAAAAATCTAGTTTGACTGAGCTGTCTCATTTGAAAGAACTGTTAAATTTATGGCAAGAACTATTTTACAGCATCTTCAAATCTTTCTTAGTTCTCGAAATATTTTGACCGAAATCATCAATCGGGAACAAACCAGAGCCCAGAGGTGAAAAGTGCAATGATATCTCGAGCTGGCCAACCAGTCTAATAGACCTTTTCGGTAATTACATCACGACTAACACTGTTTTCAACTTAGGACCACCTTAAATGGAATAGATTTCAAGTTTGTTTCTCACGGGCTATGGTCAGAGAAGCAGAACATCCTTTGTCAACACATGCATGAAAAATATTTTTGGATTTTGACCAATAAATGTGGAAATAAGCTTAAACACGAAAACGAGGCAGAGGAGCCATGGCCCTCATGGCTTTTATGCATTATTTCAGATTTCAAAAAGCGATGAGGCAATGGCTCAGAAAACTTGTATGCAAAGTTTTATTTTTCCAGTTGATATACAAGTGCTTTCACGTTGCCCGTTAATAACATTATTATTATAATAAATATTATTATGTGAGAGTACAGCGCTCATTCTCACAACTTTTATTCCCGCTGAAGCGTCCTATGAAGCGTCCGTCATCAGGGGCGTAGGAACCAGGGGGCACAGGGGCACGTGCCCCCCCCCCCCCCCCAAAGTGCCCTTTAGTGCTTTTTTGTGATGAAAAGTGCCCTTTTTTGTGATGAAAAGTGCCCTTTTTGTACAAGCTAATGTCGCTGTAAATACTAACTTAACATCAATGGTGTTCTTTTTGTTTTTTAAAAAAAATTGAGCAAAAACGTGCAATTTCGGTATTGTACGACGGGAAAATTTTTCTCTTCCCCCCTCCCCCCTCCATCGCCAGCATTTCCGGGAAAATTTTTTTAGGTGCCCTTTTCAATACCCTAAAGTGCCCCTAGAAGCCGGTGCCCTCCCCCCCAATCTTTTGATGCTTCCTACGCCCCTGGCCGTCATATTCCTAAATGAAGCCTATATACAATAAGTTTTCTTACTTTTAATACTTTTACAGCCATTGCCTTCCAGGTGATCCTTCGTCATGCATGAAAAATATTTTTAGATTTTGACCAATAAATGTTGTTACATGATAATGCTTATATCATGTAATTTTACATACTATTATATTATACTATATAGCTTATACTTTATATTCATATTATTAACCGAATAGCTTACATGCATGAGTAAGCAAATAGTTTTAAAGATTAAGATGTCCCACAACTAACGTAGCGGACATGACTCGGTTTGGCGTTGGCCGATTTGTGGTTACTGAGACTTGCTTCAACGAACTGTATTGCGTAGGGGAAATGAGTCGTAGTTTTGTAGTTTCTTCCCCTATAGCAGAGCGTATAAAAGCCTGAGCACAGCTAGACAATTCATGCATTATTCATAAGGCGAAAGCCTGAATAACATCGCCGTGAAGATATATAGAAATTACAAGTTAATAAAGAAAGATTTAAAAGGATTATACGAAGGCGAAGATATATTAAAGATAAAGAATTGTCAGGAATTGAAGAGTTGTGCTCAGTCGTGAAAAGAGATAAGTTTGAACAGTACATTATTATTAAGAATTATATTATATAAGTAAAAGTTATAGAGACGCTAATTATTGAGATTTGAGTAATATATAAGTAAGAAATAAATATATCATTGAAAGTAATTGGTTTCACAATCTTTGTTGCGAGCGAATAGAACCAAAAGCGCGGCCAAATAAAATAGTAAGGACCGGCTCGTAACAATGTGGAAATAAGCTGAAACACGAAAACGAGGCAGAGGGACGTTTAAGCTTATTTCCACATTTAATACTCAAAATCCAAAATTATTTTTTATGCATGTGTGGGCGAAGGATGTTGTGCTTCTCTGACCATAGCCCATGACAAACAAACTTGAAATTGGTCCTAAGTTGAAAACAGTGTGGTTGTGACGTAATTACCGGAAAGATCTATTACGATTATTACGCTAAATGCAATATCCACCAGTTGTACGGAGTACAGTATCATTAATAGCATATAATGGAAGAGAGGCAAGGGACTATTTGAAACGTACCATATACCCGAGTGAATGGTTAAAACACGACGTTAGTCAACCTGAAATTAAAGTTTCCGTGTTTCTTACAAAATTGGCTAATTCCAAGAAAAGAATGAATTTTCCTCAAAATCTCATTGGAATTTTTTTTATTCTCAGTTGCCAGTTTTTTAGTGTTTTTTCACCTTTGAAAAATATTGGAAACGATTTAATGGCTTTTGCTTTCTCCTGTGTGAAAAAAAAAATTAATCTGTTCTTTTTAATTAAGCTACATGTTCTGGACGGAATGGGATACAGGAGAAAAATTTACCAAATCATCAATAGCACGTGCACACATGGACGGTACAGACGTTATGAGGATAATATATCAAGATATTTATTGGCCAAATTCACTTGCTGTGGATTATATACCTGAAAGATTATTCTTCGCCGACGCAAAGAGAGGACTAATCGAGTCATCAGATCTTGGTAAGTTGTTACTGTTTACTACTTGTCTATATATCTTAATTCAAACAGCTGGATTTTTTATAATGAAGACTGAAAAGGTGATTGAGTAAAAAATTCAATGACTTTCCGTGTCTTCAGTCTTTCCGTGAAAAATCCAGCTTCTATTGTAGAGATGTGCACTGAACAAAATTGGACAGAAAATAACTTTATTTTAACAATTACTGACGAAGGCGAGGTGATTACAATCTTTTATTATATGGCAAGCATCACTTCCGGTGAAATGGCGGACTGTGATTGGCTGAGAAGCACTTTCAGCGGTTCATTATTTTCCCGTAATGGACCAGCGGTCCATTACGTAAAAACAAACGCATGCATTTTAAAACAAAACGGCAAAACTAATTGAAAATTTTAATTCAATTCGTTATTAATAAGATATTTGCGAATAGTTTTAAGTGGAAAGGAAGGATTACGTTATCATTAGTAATTTTGTTTTCTTCGATCAAATCTGTACCACGGCTCTAATATACATTTCAAATTATGCATTTCTTGTTTGTTTCGAATATAAATGCCATAAAATAAACTTTTATTAATCGCTTGCTTCGTCTTTACAGGGAAATATCGGACCTCGGTCTTTTTGAACAAACCTCGCCCTATACGAGATCTGTACAAAAAAGACCTCGGTCCGATATTTCTCTGTAAAGACCTCGCGCTCAGTTGATAAGAAGTTAATACAAACGTTGTAAATATAATTTACTTCACTCTTCCGCTTTTGAGTCAAACGAATCCAGCTGTCGGAACCTTGTCGCTCGATTCTGTTGTTAGGTTAACACCATATATTGTTGCTTCTTTTGGTTTTAGAGGAATAGTAAGTATATGTGCCTTCAATTTCTTCAATTTTTTCTTCGATGATTTGTTTGCAACTTGAAAGGAATAGTTACTAGATTATTAGTTATTGAGGAGTTTATTATTTAAGAATAACATATTTTATAGTGATGAGTTGCTTATAAGGCAGCGTTCGAATCAATGAAAAATGCATTAATATAAAGATGGCTCACTTTTTCGGATGGCAAAATGTTTGAGGCAACCATTTACTCATCCGTTTACAAATTATGTACAAAAAAGTTTAATTAAATGCTTAGGAAAACATTCAACGTAACACAATCGATGTGATTATTACAAAAAATACAGAATTTGAATTAACCAATATCGTCCTTGTCATGTAAGAGTCTTGTAATATAAGAACTAATTCATTTAATTTCATGTATATTCATTTTACGTATTTATTATTTCATTACCATGTCAGATGGAAGCAGTCGTCGCGTCATCATGAGGAGTATTATGTTACAACCATTTTCAATCACTATATTTGAAGACCAGTTATATTGGACGGACACAGCTAGAAAGGCAATTTTTCAAGCAAGTAAGTTTGATGGAAGCGGAAATCACATGATAAGAAGAAATGTAAAATCTCCAATGGGGATTTCAATAATCCACAGATCACGACAAGCGCATGGTAAGTTAATTACAAGTAATTGTTATATATAGCTAGGATGCCAAACGTGATTGGCTGATTTGTGGTCAAGTTCGTGGCTTTAGATAAATGCAATGTATCCCGCCGCGGGCAACAAGTGAAAAATTGTTGCCCGCCCCGATCAATAGCCCGACGAGGCGGCTACATAAACTACGATTTTCCAAGTTTGTGTTAAAATATAAATGTAAAAGAGAAGGAATTACACAACAGGAACAGGATATGCCGCTGAAACCGTTTAATTTAAGTGGGTTATTTTAATTTTATTCTCGTTCACACTGTCGAGTTTTGGTCATGAAAATGATAAAATACAATTATTGTAGTACGAATGTTGTTGATTTTTTCTTTCGTCGCTATATAACAAAATACTTGTCAGTTTCCCAGGGAAATAGTTAATTTTGTTCACCCTCGAATCTCAAAGTTTTTCTGGACCTTATCTCGGGAAACATTGAGACACTCGAGAAAACAAAACTAACTATTTCCCTCGGGAGCAGACATTAGGTGTATATTATGTAAAACTCTATGCAAATTTTGAATAATAATGCATTTGCACCATAGATATCTTAATACACTAGGTAGTGCATCTAATTATTCTGCAATTCAAAAATTGAAGCCGTGATTGCCGACTCAGGATATTCCAATGAAATGTGTATGTTTTCTATCACTTAAACAGCGAACTTAAACATTAAATTAAACCTATTCCAAATACATTTTCAAACTATTCAAATGATGAAAGTTATTGTGGTTTTTTAAGCGTTTATTAGCGAGTGGGAAACCCCAACATGGCCGCCATCTATTCAAATGGGGGTAACCGCTGGAATATTCTTGGCTTCAATTTACTAAAAGAGATGCGCTATCTAGTGTATATACGATATCTATGATTTGCACTTTGTGTCGTGTCAGTTAGAACACAAAGTATTGTTGGTAATGCGTGGAACGCTTCCTGAATAGATTGATCAAGTTCAAAATAAATTACTCCTCACGGTTTTGGAATATAAAATTAAAGACTTTGAGAATTTAAGTTTACCTGACCAAAGTTATGAGGCATAACCAATTTATATTCGTAATATACTTAGTGAGCTGCATATATTTCTGGAGTGAAAATTCACGTCCAAAAGTCGATGAAGTCAAAGATGGCGGAAATTAAATTGACATCCAATGCCAGTCACTTTGCCTATCATTTTTGTCTTCTCCGCTGGCATGACGCTGAAGGAGTGTGCCGAAATTGTTTGTTTTGACTTCGATTTAAAGAATAACGTTATGATTTAGGAATGATAACTTGATTAGGGATAGGAACCGTTAAAAAACACTAGAATTAGCCGCGGAAAATGGTATGAGAAATGACGACCTTCATAATTTTGAAATTCGATTTCCGCCATCTTGGCTTCACTTTTCTTACAAACCAAACGACAGTTTGCATACAAGGAAGGTCACAATTCGATTATGGCTCTGATCAAGTGCCAACACACATGGTTAAGATGGTTAGAAGGAGATGCAAAATATGTCAGAGTATTATCTTTTGACTTTCGCAAAGCATTCGATAGCGTTCCACACGATATTTTATGTGAGAAGCTTAAGAAGCTCCCCATCAACCCATATGTTACTAATTGGCTGATTAGTTTTTTGGAGGATAGGAAACAGAGGGTAGTGGTTGATGGAATAGAAACTGAATACTTGAACATTAATCGAGGTGTTCCCCAAGGAACAGTTCTGGGTCCTGTCCTCTTTTCGATCATGGTGAATGACATCAAAACAGTTAACCCCATAAACCAGTTAGTTAAGTTCGCGGATGACATGACATTAGAAGTACCAGGGAATGAAAACGGAGATACATCCCAAGCCGAAGTGGACAGTATACAAACATGGTCTGAAAATAATCGAATGTCCTTAAATATGGAACAGACGTATGAAATAATTGTTAGGAGAAATATCCCTACGCTGTTGCCTGATCCTTTTCCATTTATTAAACGAAGGACGTGGTTAAAGATTTTAGGAATTACATTACAGGATCTCCCTTCCAAGTGGGATTTGCATTTTGATGAAATGTTGAAAAAAGCCAGTGCGAGAATGTACATAATGCGTGTCTGTAAATACTATGGCTTCCCAATCAAACAACTGGACATGCTGTTTAACACTTTAATTATGCCTATAATCACTTACGGCATAGAACTTTGGGGAGGCGCATACTTCAATAAATACATTAGTCAAATAGACAAATTCATCAATCGCGCTCACAGAAATGGTTACATATCGGAAAAATGGAATATTAAGGAGATAAGCATCAAAAGGGACAAGAAACGTTGGGATAAAGTAATACATAATAAAGATAATGCACTACAGGAGCTTTTACCAGATAAATTAAATAGACACCTTAGGCCAAGGGGACACGAGTTTGAACTTCCATTAGTGAGAACAGAGCGATTTAAAAGTTTTTTTGTAAATCGATGTTTGTTTAACTTTGTTTAACCAATTTTAACCTTTACCTTTTTAACATTATTAATATTTTTATCCACAACTGTATACATCTAGTTATTACCTTATAGATATCAATAATTTTATCTTATATATTTTTATAATGTAAACTTACAGACGGGTGTTCTTGAGTATGAATAAAGACTGTTATTATTATTATTATTATTAAAATTCGTACTCCCTGCCTCCTTCGCAGACCCTCGTTGTGTCATGGGAAGGTCACGATTTCGAGAGGGCCTGTGGAATCTTGTAAAATGAATAATGTTGTTCTAAACCTGCTTCGTTAAAGAAGGCAGTTTTATTCGTGCAACGTTGGTGTGGACAACAAACCTTATCGTTAAAAAATGCTTCCTTCCACGTCCTAAGAGTCCCCAGTTTAATTTACAAGTTTCTCGCCGCTTTTTTATCTGTTTATATTCAAGATTATGTAGAAATTTACTTTCTGACGTGACGCTGGCGCTATTTTTTTTACAAGATTCAGCAGGCCCTCGCCAGATCGTGACCTTCCCATGACGCAACGAGGGCCTGCGGAGGATGCAGTCGTACTCCAGGGGCCGGTTATTCAAAGCTGGGTGCCTGGGTTAGCTTAACACTATGCAGTAGTATTTTAAGTTAAAATTCAAAGCAAACGTCCCAAGAGCTTGTATATAAATTTGGAAATATTTCTTCAGAGATCGTGTCCTAGGGCCAACCTCGCAAGCCAGGGTCTTTTACTTCCGCACGGCGATCGAGCGCAGGTAAAGACCCTGGCTTGCGAGGTTGTCCTAGGGCCTGTTGATATGATCCCGCTTACCGATGATCTCGCCGCGGCGCCGCCGAGTTATTTTCCTACAAAATTTTGCATTGTGTTCATCGAGATCTCGTTTTGCCGAGATCATAGGTAGGCCGGGTGAAAAATTTTCCATATGAACACGCCAGCCCGCTTACTGGGATGAAGTCAAACAAGTCTTGCCGTTTAATTTAACACTTTACTTAGTTTTATGTTTGTTTTGTAAACAAGTATTAAATATGCACCTAAAGCAAATACTTTTTCTTGTAAATAAACGAAGAAAAGCACTAAAATCGCTAAATATTTGTGTTACTTGACTGAAATGCAGAAGTTTTGCATACGCTAATTATAGAACTACATTGTAATTTTATCTCGGCAAGCGGGACGAAATAATGCATATGAACGCACGGAAATATTCGTCTCGGTAAGCAAGACGTCCCGGTAAGCGGGATCATATGAACAGCCCCCTAATCAGTATGAGTTTTCTTCTCTGAAGTTTTGAAATAAACCGACGCGCAGAAATATATAAACCAAAACAGCAGATTAAATTTTAACCGAGGCTTAGCGTTAACCCAGCTTTGACCAACTGGCCCCAGATGTTCATAGAGCTCACTGGATTTACCATTTTCAGATAGTTACAACTGTGGAAAAGATAATGGTGGATGCAGTCACATTTGTCTACCATCATCATCTGGACGGAGCTGTACGTGTCCAACTGGATTTCAGATGTTAAATTCCACCCATTGTGCTGAAAGTGAGTAAGTCTACATTTTGCAAATGTTAGTCGAAAAGGGACTGTGATATCGCAGCACTAGTCGTGACTGAATATCAACAACTTTCATTTTCTGGTCCTGCATGCACGGGTTTGATTGCTGTTCCATGTTTCAATTAAAGGACATATAAAAAGAATATTCACGTGCAGAGTAAGTAAGAATATATAAAAAAAGTAGCGCTCGGAAATAACCTCACCTTGTGGTCACGGTTTTCTGCGGAGGTTTTTTTTCGGTTTTCGAAGGATACATTAATGTGTTGAGGTTTTGTAGCGTTAATATGTATCCAAACAAAGCTCTAATGTTTTATATTATTTCTTTTTTGATAAGAAATTGACAAGTTCGTTGCTTATGTTGGGGATTATGTCGTACGTCAAATCTCTCTCGATACAGACGACATGCTGGATGTTGTGTTGCCATTTGAATACGTGGTCGACGTAATTGCAATGGACTGGGACCCAATTACTGATGCAATGTATTGGGCAGGAAGTTATGATGATGAAATAACCATAAGGAAAGGAAAAATGAGACCGCCGTATTACGAGGTTCCTAAACATGTTATTTAAAAACTTCATTTGAAATCTGGCATCTACCTTCCTATTCCTAAAGATATACATAGTGAAAGGTTTTCGAACTTGGTATGAAATATGGAATATAGATTTCGCTAGTTTTTGTGGCAACTGAACCTGGGTTAAATAATCTGTAGATTTGAGGTAACATGTACATACATACTGTGTATACGCAGAAATTGTGGGTTCTACAGAGAAGTGGTACTCCTAAAGGAATGGTTCCGGATTATATTCAAAATGCATTTCCCAGAAAATTATTTCCTCCCCCCCAAATAAAATCCCCAGAAAATGATCTCCTCCCCCTCTTCAGGCCTTCAAAATAAGAGTTCCTTCCAGGATATAACAGCCTTCCGAAAATAACATTCTCTATATATAGGGTGCATGTTTCGAAACAACAGGGAATTATTAGTAAATTTTTCAAATCACAACTTATGATATAGGCTGTGGTTCAAAAAATTTCTGGGAAGTTGTCTGGAATTGGTGTCGACTGGTTGACAAGAAAACTGTACTGGTCTGAGGAAGAAAGAAATCATATTCTAGTTTCTACTCTTGATGGCAGCTCGTCAACTGTTGTATTATGGAGGAAAATTGTTAAACCAAGAAACTTATTGCTACACGTCGAGAAGAGGTAATGTGCATAATTATATTTCTGTAGACAACAGCGGATTGAGAGAGAACTTCCGACAAAGGGTCTTCACTCGAAACGTCGTAATTCTGCTTGTATTTTTCAGGTAGTGTTGTAAGGATAGTAACAATATAGTTAACTATGATACTGCATTTTGGTGTTGTTATAAATCTGTGATGGCTATATCAGATGGTTTGATCGTTGTTTTTGAAAATCCATATACAACCGGTTACACCGTAATGTTGCCAAATTTCACTTAATCTGAATAATCTTATTCCAACTTTCTATTGGCCAACTGGCACATCGCCCAGAAGCCCACTGCACTTCACCCCTGCACATTATGATAAAGGTTTGGTCTAATTATCGCTATAACTAAGATTGGTAGAGCCACATGCTGTAGTAGAAAATGAAAATAAAAAATATATGATTATGTAGTAAAATATACTTCAAATGACCGTTTAAATTACATGAAGAGGTTCAGTAGTTTGTAAGCTCTTCTGCTATTAATGTAATGAACAAGAAATTTAGCTCGAAAATTCGAAATGTGTTAAGTTTATTATCAAAGATAGCTAGTTAAGACATAGATAGAGGCAGCTTATTGTCAAATACCTTCCGGCTATATGTCCTATCGAGCTTAAAAGGCACCAAACTGAGTTTAAAGTTCCTCCTCGGAATTGTCATGGAATTCATTCTGGTTTATTTCATATATTCAGTTCATCATGGCTATATTAGCCTAAGTCAAATTTTCCTTGTGGTGGACTGGTGGTACTATCAGTCTCCGAACTTGCAGACTCTCTATTGCTTTTGGAATGTGCAGAGTAATAAACGTCATAAAATTATAATGTTTCTTTATCAGTTGGCTGTAAGTTTATTTGAATTTGTTTTGAATACAATTGTTTTTAACCAGGTACTTGTATTGGACATCGCACGGTAGTGTTGTCAGCATAAATAGAGCAGGAATGGACGGCTTCTCTCGTGAAAAAATAATTTCTGGTGGTTTGATTAATCCATCTGACTTGACCCTTGATAAAGTTAAAAACATTCTTTATTGGGTGGACGGAGGAGAAAAAGTTTACTATATCTCGTTGGAAACGAGAAAAAGAAATGTAAGTGGTAATGAGATGGTTTCTAGTGCGATTTGGATAAACATACATAAGTAAGTTTTTCTAAGTCGATTATAAAAGTTGAGTCGATCTCGAAGGACGAGTGCATTTTGACGTCTTTGAAACAGTCACGAGTGTATGCTTTTCCAAATTTGACGAGAAATCATGCTGTTACTTATTAGTGGTATACTAGACTTGGATCAAGTCCGTCTTGAGAAAAGTAGGGAGAGATGGACTTGGGACATTCGCAGCATTTCGAATGTTACTTGCAAAAATTTGTTGCTGTTGTTGTCAACTCGCAAGCCCAGCCTACGTAGGAAAAATCCGACGGTAAATTTTGGCGCACTTGCAAATGTCCCAAGTCCCTCACCCCTTACTTTTCTCTCATATTTTCGCGCCTTTTTTCACCCCTCGCGTGTATCGCTGTTTTCAACCCCTTGAGATACAGACTTGAACCAAGTCTGGTGGTATACTATTATAAGTATTGTTTTCATTGCTCGTTTTCTTTCCTTTTCAGTCTATGATTTCGCTGTGATTAAAATTCACGCACGATTTCCAGTTAAAAGTGTACAAAAAGTCATCAAAAAATGAAAATGCTGCTGTCTGCCGCCAAGTTGATTTTCCCTGGCTCGTTTACACTCTTGTTTTGTTAATTTGTGAATTTTCACTACAGAAATCGACAGTGTGCAATTTAAAAAGAATGTAATCAGGATGCGTAATTTTTATGTAGGCCTACATATATTGTCTGCAGGGGAATAAAAAGCTTGAAGAGATTTTGCCCCGAACATATCTGTGCTGAAATAAGTAAGAGTTATAAACCGAGTAGGAGGTTTATAACTGATATATTGACCCCGAGGACGCGTAGCGTCCGAGGGGCAATATATCAGTTATAAACCGACTTTCGAGGTTTATAACTAACTTATATCACACTTGTGGAGGTTTTCCAACATATGTTGTCATTTTCAAAAATTTTTAATGAAAAATTCTCGCGTTTTGTCTACAAGTTTAATCCAATTATTTATTCAAGGTATATAAGCTAGTTATAAACCTCGGACGAACAAAGAAAACCGACACAAGTGTGATATAAATGCAGTTATGCCACACATAATGAAGGGCTATTTCATTGCTGTAATATATAGTTCTTTTGGACAAGTTTTATTATCAATCATCTCTTGACTCTTATTTTTATGCCAGGAGTGTTTCTAATTCAAGCGTGTAGTCAAACTATACCCCTTGGGATAGTCCAAGAACTCTTTAAGGGTTCAATAGCCCCTGGCTCGATACTTCTTCGTCTGAGATGATTTCATCTTACCAAACATTTTTCTCAGATTCAGAAACCAACAATAAAATGTATATAGTATCAAACAATCAAATGCTTCAAAATCTTTTTCTTACATTTCCAAATTTTTAATAGTTTTATAAAGTTTCGTATTATTCGACGACGTTGAATCCATTCACGATTGGTATTGATGGAGATCGGTTCTTCTGGACAGATTCTAACTTGAAGAAAGTACTGCTCATGAATCTTGGGGAGAAGAATGACGCAAAAGTTATTGGAAAGTATAAGTCCAATCCTGTAAGACTGGCGGTATTTGAGCAAGTACAAGGCCAAGGTAAGGTATGGTCGTACCGGATGTGGATCTGATTTCATATTATACTTAAATCACTAAAGCTCTATAGATCAATGAAACAGCTAGCAAGCACTTCAAAATTGCGGGAATAAGTTATATTGGTATAATACGAACTATATCTGGAATCGCACGATCTATGCTGCATGAGAACAAACGATACTTGCGAAACCGCTTACTGACGTTTGACTCAATGGCCTCGTTTTTGTGTCAGGTATTTACTTGTGTTTCTTGCACAATAAAGTAAAGAACTAATTACTTGTTATTGGGCTTAAGAAAAACCAGGAACCAAATCGTGAAGGATCGAAACATGGGAATATAACCTTCATGTGCGCCTGTCATGCAAAACAGGTAAACACGAAAACGAGGCCATTGGGTCAAAAGAGCTTTAATAAGGTCTATTATCATACAAATTAATGTTTTATTAGATAATTATAACTTAGTGTATAAATTGCAACAAATTCTGAATGTTTAGCTAGCTACTTAAAATTATGAATAAAATTTATTTTTAGAAAATCATCCTTGCACATCAAATAATGGTAATTGCAGTCATCTCTGTGTGCTGTCGCCTTCACAAACTTTTCGTTGTTTCTGCCCTGCAGGAAGACATCTAAGGGCTGATAATAAAACATGTCAAGATGGTAAGAACATTAATTTATATCACGAAGATTTGTTCACCTTTAGACAAATGACGAAGATATTAATTCATGAATCAAACCTTTGGTGATGTTATGTAATATTTCTAATCCGACTATGAGGACTGGACATTGGAGGATTTGAAATGACATCTCATGCGAATTAATCACTGCTTAATTAGTTTGGATCCAGTCCAAGGACTGAATTAATTTTGATCCAGTCCTAGGACTGGGTCAATGTACTTCATCAGGTATCCAGTATTATCATGCGAGCAAAAAAAAAGCAATACAGTTGGGTAATTTACTCATGAATTATTAATGAGTTTGTTTTCAAATAACGAACATTCCTTGTTACATGCTAGATTTTTGTAAATCTTACATATTAATGATAATAGAGATATTTCATGCACCCCTGTTCACGAAGAGAAAAGATGATATTATATATTATGGATCTTGTCTGAATTCTCTTCTTGTGAAACGTTTAGACTTGTCATTCTTTAATTTCCTTTTTTCCTCCAATGCAAAACCAATAACGTTTGCAACTGATATTCACAAGTATAACACTGCACTATAATTTTGTCGGAGCGATTATCCAGCACTTCACATTTTCATTCTTCACATTGTCAGCGTCAGAGATGTCACGATTCGTGTTGGTTAACAGTAATGGACGTCTTTATCAAGTTCCACTCAGCGTGCCATACAAAACCGATATAATGATAACAAGTGAGGGAAACAAGGATGTTTTCGCTTTTGACGTTGATGTTAAACACAGGTATGATAGCGTTATGCTTTTTCAATGACTAAATAAATATTTGACTCAGTAGAGGCAGTAGACATATGTTTTCCGAAATATATCTGCCTATCATCAGGCAATACACACGGTCACTTGAAACAAAATTAATATTATTGTGGAAATTGGGAAATAGCTGGAAATGCACTTCTTACATGGGAATCTAATTTTCAATTTTTTCTGTGGGACATGCCCCCAGTCTCATGTGGGGCATGCCCTCAGAGGGTTTGTGAACCCTAAAAACGTTCATGCGGAGGATAATTCATGGCACTGCTTTCAGGCATAATTATTTCAGGCCAAAATGTTCTTTCATGCTGAAAAATCATCAACCACTTCTGTCTGTAAATATGAGCAGCAAAAAGGCTAAATATAACCTAGTTCAGAAAGTTGTTTTAATGTTTTCGTAACCAATCCTTGTTTTCATGCTAGATGATCAGTCTGTCTAGCTGAAATATTTCATAAAGTTGTGATTGACCATGTGATTGAAATTATTTTGCTACAAATTTTGCTAGACGTTTCTTCATTATATATAAACACAGTTATTAGGAATCAATTTTATACATCATTATAGGTGATATTAAAGACACCCCAAACTGAATTAATTTTCTATTCTGATGTTAGTTTCAGGTTTAAAACGAAGAATCTTTTAATTAATTAATTAATTAAATCAGGAGTGCATGTAATACTAAAAAGATATAAAAAATTAGTATATATGGCTCGTGAAAGGTCTCCTCTGGAGATGTGGAAGCGCTTTCAGTCTTGCTCATCCTCGTGGATTCTTTACTTATACTTTGTACATTCTCTAATTCGTGCATTGGATTACTTCATTTTTTCCTAGATCTGTGTATTTTATCAAGAAGACGATCAAGAAAAAGGAAATGTGTCATGTTTCGTTATCTGGCGGAAACCATACCTGCATTCTCTCCGATATACTTCGTGCTCCTGGTGATATTGCGTACGACCCAGTACGACATTACATTTACTGGACTGACTTTCTTACTAAGAAAATATACCTCGCTGGCAGAAACGGAGAATTTTGGACCGTGATTATTTGGAAGAATTTAGATTTACCATCATCTATAACAATTGCATATCAGCATGGGTAAGTTTTATAACTATTTTTTTTTTCATTTCATGAATTTAGTTCGTATATAATTATAATAATTATTGAGGATATTTCACGGTAGCATGGGATGTGGATTGCGGATGAAAATTTTCATCCCGGTCAGGAGTTAGAAGAGTTAATATGGAAAATTTCACCTGAGATCCTACCTAGCCAGGCTACTGTAGCTCATCTCTCATGCAGGGCCGCCCAGAGGTTGGCGGGGGCCAGGGGAAAATTTTTCTTTAGGGGCCCCTATCTTTTCGGTCAGTGTACATTTTAGGGGTAAAAAATTTTTTCCGGAGTACAAAATTTTGCCGGACAAGTACGTTGCAAATGCTTTCGAGGGACTTTATCTCATTTTTTTATGCCAAAATTCGTTACTTAGCCCAAGAAAACAGATATCTTGTCCTTTGCGCGGAAATATTTAACACACAAAAAAGGCTGGGGCCCTACAAAAATTTTTCAGGGGCCCCCAGTAACTCGGGGCCCGGGGCAATTTGCCCCCTTTGCCCCCCCCCCCTCTGGGCGGCCCTGTATAGAAATTGTCCATACTCAGAGGTCATATTCAAATATACACGAAACTCGTTTGTTTGCCGCCTCCAGGGACATGAGACATATTTACAGCAATAAAAAAATTGCTATAATTATGTTGAGTTCAACTCTTTTTAAACGTAAAAATATTGTAAACTGATTTTTTAACTGTCTGCCTTAAGTTGCTAACCTTGCACAATAATTAACAGTTATTCTACGAACTCGAGTCGAATATGAGCTGATAGCCGATGAGGCGCGTAGCGCCGAATCGGCTATCGCTCATATTCGACGAGAGTGAGTGGAATAACTGTTTTATTATATACACAAGGTCTGAGTTCACAGACTTTGCTTTTCGAATATTTTCAATATTTTTCTATTTTGTTTATGTTTTTATCTTCGCTCTTTCGGCCGATTATTTTTTCAAAAATATATATTTTTAACCATTTTAAATATTAAAAATTTATTTGCTAACCTGAAAACAATTTGTGGGAGTTTTTCATTGTGTTTTTAATCCTGTGAAGGCTATAAAAAGCGACAACTTGCCGTTTTCTCGTTTGCAAAACATCGTAAATTCAGTTTGGCCGCCATTTTGTTTTTCTCTACTAGCAGGATATGAGCTAATATCCTGCTAGTAGAGAACCAATCAGATTGCAGAATACCTCATATCCAGACCTTGTGTATATAATAACAATATATATATGGTAGGTGATGTCAAGAGAAATATAAGAACATTAGAATGTTTAATTAAACTGATAATTTGTTACATTTCAGATTTACACGAATGGTTCGAACAGAAGACAACCAGATGCTTCATTGGAAAACTACGTCACTTCGACCATCATGGATGTGATTGCTAACTTCTTTACCTCACCGTTCTCACAATGTAGCACTACAATTGATGTTAGTAATATTTAGTTTTAAATTGTTGTACATGCATGTTTGTTAGACTGGAAACTGTAGTATAATTAATATATAAATATTTTTTGATACTCCCTGCATGTATTTATTCACAGTTCTTCACATTATATACAGTAGCGGATATTGGGAGAGGGCGGGTAGGGGCCCTAATAATTTTGAATGATAGCTGAATAAATGTGTAACAAAGCTGTAACCAACCTGATACTCAGGGTCGTCACCTTCGCTATCCGCGAAGAATATATTACAATATAGAGAGCCATGCATGCATTGCGATTACAGGGCCGCACTACAATGTTCAAATAGGCCATTGTTTCTGTAGCGGAGGTGAATACCTTGAGTATCAGGTTGAGCTGTAACAATAATTTTCCAACCATGAAAGGATTGGTAAGCTATAAATTTAGCTATATATTGCATGACATTTAAAGCAAAAAGTCTAAAGACCTACGATTTCAAGCTACAAAAGGTGGTTATATGGTTGGCAACCTAATTCATGAAGATTTTACTGATTTTTATATGGAAGTTGGGACTATTACATTATAGTAAAACTCGTGTGGTTTTCTTGTAAACATTGTCAACTATTGTGTTGGATGATCATAGTCAACATAAATTCCCCTGGCTTGTAGGCTGGTTTTGTCGTATTAGCTAAAGTTGGGGCCCGAGTCACCATTAGTGAAAAAGATTTCTGAGTTTATATAAAAATATGTTAAACGCTTTTATAAGACACAGCTATTTTTGTACTGCCAGACAATTAACTATACTGTGTTACTACTCGCAAACTTTATTGGATATTCCTTGTGATTTTAGGCACACCAATTGGTGTTCGTCAAAATTCTGCAGAGTGTTTACCGTTTATCTCAATGTTCATCGCTGACTGGTTCTCAGAAATACAACGTTGAAAACTGTATTCGAACTCTCTGTGAAGTAGGTAGGTGGAGGTGGTACTCTCTTATAGTAAAATCCATGCATGATCTTCACTTAGCAACGAAGAAAGTACTTATAACATGTTTTGCCTTAACATTGCATAATTGACCGTTAACTTTAAATATATATATTCGATCAAATAGATTTTTCTCGAGCATGCATTTTGAGACAACAACTGTTTCTTATAATTATAATTAGTGGTGATTATGTATTTTCGTTTTTATCGTCAATACATCCAATATTGAGAAACAACATGTTGCAACACCTGAAGCACGATAAGTCCAAGATATAAAGGTTTGAAGTCTTGACGTTGAGCGTTTTGGTTTAACAATATATAATTGTATAAACTCGAACAGTCTGTGCCAACGTGGATAATGACAAGAACACCAGAAAACTGCGGATTTAGAGGGATTCGATCTACTACCTGAAAATATAAGCAGAACGTCGACGTTTGCGATGTGCCTTCTTATTAGAACGTCCAGACGAAGTTCCTTCTTATTAGAACTTCCAGACGATGTGCCTTATTGGAACGTCCAGACGAAGTTCCTTCTTATTAGAACTTCCAGACGAAGTACCTTCTTATTAGAACGTCCAGACGAAGTTCCTTCTTATTAGAACGTCCAGACGAAGTTCCTTCTTATTAGAACGTCCAGACGAAGGTCCTTATTAGAACGTCCAGACGAAGTGCCTTCTTATTAGAACGCCCAGACGAAGTACCTTCTTATTAGAACGTCCAGACGAAGTTCCTTATTAGAACGTCCAGACGAAGTGCCTTCTTATTAGAACGTCCAGACGAAGTTCCTTATCAGAACGTCCAGACGAAGTTCCTTCTTATTAGAACGTCCTGACGAAGTTCCTTCTTATTAGAACGTCCAGACGAAGTTTCCTCTTATTAGAACGTCCAGACGAAGTTCCTTATTAGAACGTCCAGACGAAGTGCCTTCTTATTAGAACGCCCAGACGAAGTACCTTTTTATTAGAACGTCCAGACGAAGTTCCTTCTTATTAGAACTTCCAGACGAAGTCCACTAACTTCCACACGAAAGACCTTCGCTCGAAACGTCGACGTTTTGCTTGTATTTTTCAGGTAGTTGAATCCCTAGTTTTCTGATATAATTATATATTAAGATAATGGTATACCAGTAAAGAGTCATCACTTGTGCGATGATGGTCTGTGAAGATCGGTGAAGATAGCGGTGATAATAAACAGCAACAGTATGTAGGAGGTACAACTACCTGAAAAATACAAACAGAACTTCGGCATTTCGAACGGCCTTCGCTCCAAACATGGACGTTCTGCTTATATTTTTCAGGTAGTTGATCGAATCCCTCTAAATCCGCAGTTTTCTGGTGTTCTTGTCATTACCCACGTTGGCATACCAAAAATACAAAATCACCACTAATAATATAATTATAACAAACAGTTGTTTTGTCCCAAAATGCATGCACTCGACAAAAATCCATTTGGGCAAAAGGCCATGAAAATTGCTATTTTTCAGGCAGTTATATCTCCTACATACTTGTAGTAAATAAGATTTTGCCAGCATCCTACAGATTCCTATCGCTATTAGTGATTTTTATACATGCGTGCACATCTTCCACCATTATTACATCTCGAAACGCATGTTCTCCTACTAGGTTTGAAAGTTACTTTTATTGACTTGCTTTGTACAAGATAATTATATGTTGTTTTGCATCAAAATAGAATTTTTTTAAATACTGTATTCTAATTTTCTTCAGCAAAAACACGATCTATCGCCATTCCTGGGGATTTGGACGCTCAGATAACGATGATGTTTAATCAGACCATTATAATGGCGAAAAGTACACAGAAATGGTTGAGTCGTGGGAAAAAGAAGGAATCAGTTGTCAATAAACCAATTTCCAAAGACTACAGAAATATTATTGAAGGCCTTCAGGTTAGCGAAATGTGTAATTAACACAGGGAAAAAATGAACTTTCTATTCTCTTACCATTATTGGTTATAATAGATTTCCCATGTGGTAAATTAGTAAAACATTTCAATGTATCTGTATATATATTGATTTAGACATCAATTCATTTTTCGTTACAAGAGTTTCCCACTCCATATTTTTATAGCGATTTAAATGTGATTATTCGAAATTTTTCAGGACATAGTGTGTTTACTGGAAGAACAGTTGCGTCCTTTAATCCAAGCAGAGGAGTCTGTACTGGTAGATATCTTGTACAAACCTGAGCTCATGTTCCCTCCAAAATCTGAATGTCGCTCAAAGTCTGAGAAAGGAGGTTTCATTTCCAGGTACAAGTTTACACACTCACCAATTATACGTCCGGATTGTTCGGAAAGGGGCTGTTTGCTGGTGGTTGAAAAATATTGAGAAACAGCAGGAATCACCAGTATACTATATTATAAAGATTATATAGTTTATACCATTATTTTTGTTTTCGTATAACGTTTTCCGAGGACTGATCATTCAGTGACGAATGGTATGCGTATGAGAAGGCAGCTACTTTTGTAGGGCGCTATTTTCCGTGGCATAAATACAGTTTATCAGATATAACCTCATCGTATTATTTGTTATTTTGGAAGGTAACAATTGTATCAATATACATGCACAATGTATAATAATAGATACTTTACTGTTTCACTTTTGCCCCACAAACTATTAAAGAGTATGGACAACAAAATTTAAATATGTTTAGACTGAAAGAACTCCTTAAACTGTAGAATAAGTCATCTTACAAAATTTTTATATCTTTCTTTGGTTAGAAGATATTTCAGTTTATTTGATATGTAAATAACTAAATAAATAAATACGTCACAAGCTGGGTAAACTTTTTAACAGTCTACAGGACTTTAGCCAATGGAATCATCAATACAGACTTCAATGATTTCCTCTATTTTGAACATTGAGCTTTATGACTTTGGCGTGACTGCCATCTTTGAAAATATTTTATCAGCTTGTGACGTCATAGATCTGTTTCATTTGGATATTATTAAACAACCTAAAATATCTCAAGAACGAAAAAGATAAAGAAAAGCTGTGAAGTGACTTATTTTACAGTTTAACGAGTTCTTTCTGTATAAACAGACTTGAATTACATTGACCACACCCTTTAAAAAATGTGTTTAGGTTGATAAAACACACAGAACGTTTTGTAGAAGATGAGGAAGGTTTATGTATTCAAGTCTTACAACATCTTAGAAACATGGTTGAGAGAGAGACACGTTTTGGACGGAAGGTAGGGTTCGAAGATTTTATTTCGTGGAGAGATTATTATGTTAACATGATCTGTTCAGGTCGAAGATTATTTGTGGGAAATATTTACATATTGAGTTGTTGTGCAAGCGATAGACCTCATACCACCACTTTTCTCTGCGTTAAGTTCATCAGTGAGCCATGACGGTAATTAATGTATCAACATTTGAATTTATATGTTCTGTTTCACACATGATTTATAATGCAAAGAATGTACTTGTATTCTAGTTCATCGTCAAGTCTTATTGTCTAAGGATTTAATTATACTGTGATTCAACTCGAGCAAGGCTTGTTAGTTTTAATTATAACGATTTAATTTCTGGCTGTACTCCAAGTGCCACAAAGCTCCTCTGCGAAACCGTTAAAATTCGATCGGGAGTTACATGCATTATAATAATATTTTAAAGTTCATTTCCACTTGGCAACCATATGAAGTCCGCGTGGTTTCTCGTGTTGAAATGTTACCATTGTATACACTCATACTGGTCATACTCGCCTTTCTTTCAGGCTGCTAATTTAAGATCATTATTGCTGAAACGCTATTTCGGAGACAACTATCCAAAAATAATGGAAGCATCCGAGGATAAAACATCACAAACTAAAAATACGTCAGTGCGTGGTGATACACGGATCCTTAAACGAGCTGGAGTGAGTTTAGCTGAAATGCAATGTCAACTAAATAATTGTGGTGCCACAGATTTAGTTATTGATATTATTATGAAGAAACCCAGTTATCATGTGTTTGTTGAGTGCATCAAACTTGGTATCTCGTTACTCGAAGGTGGAAATCACTTGATTCAGGTATGCAATCCAGATGATCTTGATACGCGGAAAAGTACTGGCACTAGTTGTCAAATAGAAATCCATTTTATGATTAAAACAACTGAATATCTCCTGTAATATACTCTATTTCGATTCCATATTTTTGTCAGAGCTATAGTTCTCATAACCAAACATAATTACAAAATTTCAACTAGTTTCATAAAGAATAACGGAAGATATAATTGACTGAATACATCAAAATGGATTTCTATTCGGACAACCCTTTCTGAGCGCTGATTGGCTAAAATACGAACACGAGATCACCTGGATATATAATTGCTACAATGTATCATAATTTCCATTATTCCCACATAGCTGCAAGTCGCTACACCCTCGCATTAACTGGTCGCATCAATTAGTCAAAATGTTTCAATTTCAAACATCGAAAAAAATAATGCCAGCCGAAAGCTTTTAAACATACAAACAAAACACAATCCAAATATTAGCATCTTGAAACCCAAGATATGGATGAAATTCGCGATATTTCGACTTTAGTATTTTTGCACAAGTGAATATAACAAATCCTACAAGTTGATTGGTCAAATTTGACATATTAAGCTGTTATATTCACCTACAGGTGAATATAACAAAACCGAAATTTTCAAAATGGCGGCTAGCCGTTTTGTGGAAGTTACTGATAAACAAATAAGCGAAATTAGAATAAATTCCGTCCCAAAAAACACAAAAGACTTGTGTGTAAAAATACTAAAACAATTATTGCTAACTTGGAATTCCGATGTTTTGAGCGAACACATTTTATCATAGGCTTATTTGGATAATTGTACTTAGGCGATTTAAGGAGCGAGATTTAGATGTCGGAAGGTTTTCTTCAGGCTCAACTCACATACTGATCCACCTCTTTCTATCTCTTGGTATAAAGAATAATCCAACTTTTATTTACTCTTATAGTATGTGCCCATATACCATCTTATCTTCGCTTTCTGTGTATTATCTCCACATCTTCTTCCGACCTCTTTATTCTGCATCTTGTTCTTCAGTGACGTGCAGGATGAACAGAAAAATGGTGTTTCATCATTTTCATATTAAACTTTCTTCGGTTCTAATGTCCATGGAAACTCATTGCCTAGCCTTCTCCGCAGGCCTCTCTATGGGTTCTAGCCTGCGAATGGGTTTTGAAAAAAATTTTACTTTCTCCCACCACCCGATTCGTCGGGTGAGATGCCTGCGGAGGAGGCTACTCATTGCCCGAGTATAACAGTTTTCTTTTGCTGTTATCGTTTGATTTTCAGATATCATTTTATGGTCGTTTTGTAAATGGGAAATCTGAAGCATTTTTCCAAAATGTCCATGATAAAATGAAAGAAGCAGACAGTGCTATCAAGAATAATATGATAGTCATGGCTGAAAGCAATTGCGTAACATCAGAATCCAGTGAAACGCCCCAAGGTAATGCACAACAAAATACTGCCAAGTCAACTTCTGGAAGGAAAAACACCTTTGGAACAGGTATGAATGTATTTTTACACTACCAATGGAGTGATAAAAGAAAATATATATGATTTGTTGCAAACTACAATCTGACCTGGTTTCTAGTTGATAGTGGCGGTCATAGGTCCCGATGTATTGGATGAAAACTCCATTTGCTGCAGACAAGAGACGATACAAATGGTCAAGGCTTGGTCGCGAAGCTGCAACTAAATTGAGACCATGCTTTAGAAAAAATTCTTTCCTGTCTAAACCTCGCGGCTTTGCTTCAGTTTTCACCAACAATGTACATTACTTTTGACTTCTTCGAAACTTCGCTTGCAGCATTTAAAAATTATCTTATGCTATTAAATTGTCTCATCTTGTCAGTTTTGTGTATCGTTTTCCTTGGCTGTAAATGAAGTTTTTTTCGTCTCAATTTCAGGTTTGCATACGCTGCCTTCGTACCTCGATATGAGTGATGAAGTTAAAGAACAGTTGGCTGATGCAGCCACACATACTACCCGAGCTTATGCAGTTGTTCGTCGTAGTCGTCAACCCGATGCTGACACTGAGCACGGAAAAACTGGAGCATCAGAAAACAGATCACTTGCATCTGCTAGGTCACCGGGGTTCAATGGGGGATCCAGCGTGGCCTTGAATGAAGTCCTCTTGGTGAAACCAATTATGAGAATTTTGCAACTTCTCTGTGAAAATCATAACCATCATTTACAGGTAAGAAATGAACTCAAACATAGATGTGCTGACTAGTGACTAACAATTGTTGAGAAAGCTCTTGGGTGTTGATTCTCGCCAGCCTGAAAAATATAAAGACAATGGATTCTCTGACGTTCGGTGTAAAGCTCCTTTGTCACTGATTTAGTAGAGCACACTGCCTTTAAAGTGAGCTTCCCAGACAGAGAAAGAGGAACTTTTCATGAGTAGTTTTACTACAAGAGAAACTCATACCCGAAGAAAACTGCGGTGTTTGATAGTTGAAAAGGAAACATTCTCTCGTACAATGCCGGGAAATTATTTCACCAGAGAACTTCGCAAGGTCACTGCATAATGAATTGAAATACTGTGCACTAACCATTGAGCGATTTTGTTTCAGAACTACATACGAGAACAAGACAACAAAACAAGTTATAATTTAGTTTTGCAAACTTTACAATTTTTGGACTGTATTTGTGGGAGTACGTCGGGGAGTCTGGGACTGCTCGGTTTATATATCAATGAAGATAACGTGGAGTTGATCAAGCAGTGTTTGGAAAGTTTAACTGAGTATTGCCAGGGACCATGCCCTGAAAATCAGGTACTGTATGAAATCTATTTTCTTAACATTGAAACCCTTATACAACTATATTTTGTATGTATTGCTATCGTGCGCGTCAATGTGTTAGTTACTGTATTCGTTAGTGTGTTATTTGCCGGCTTCTTGTTAATCATGCAGCGACTCACTTAAATCACTTAAAGTGATGAAATGCATTAGAACTATAAATGCTCTGGGCTATTCACAAAGTAAACACCGTTGTACAACAACATGTAAGCTACTTCAATGAGTGGATATTTGTATGCCAAATGCATCCATAAAATTTGGTTAAAATTTACCAGTTTTTACCTTATAATCAATGCAACTGTTTGTATTTTAGAATGACATAGCACTGCACGATTCCAATGGTGTGGATATAATTTCGGCATTGGTGGTAAACGACATCAATCCTCTTGCGAAACAACGAATGGATTTAGTATTGGAGCTCAAGGTAAAGTGTGTAGTATATGGGTAAATGATATAGGACAATATTTTACGGTGGCCCATATGTGCAAAACACCCCCCAAAAAATTATTGCACCCCAGGGGTCACAAAGCACCCCAATATGCAAATCAAATTGCAACGGTTAATATGAAACACCCCCCAAAAGATTCGAAACACCCCACAAAAGATTCGAAACACCCCCAAAAGATTCGAAACACTCCAAAATATTCGAAACACCCCAAAATATTCGAAACACCACAAAAGATTCGAAACACTCAAAAAGATTCGCAACACTCCAACAGATTCGAAACACCCCAAAAAATTCGAAACATATTTGTAATACAAGTCTTGTTGAACAAAAAATTTGGTAATATTACTATAATAAAGTTTGCAAATGAAGTGCAATAATTGTAATACAGAAATATTGAGTACATTCTTCTATTGTCCATCGTGTGGCAAGTGCACTCGTATCGACACGCCAATACAAGTGAAAAATACTGATTCTAACGCGGGATGTCTTCGAGTTCAAACACCTCATCCAATTCTGGAGTGGGACAAAAAAGATTTCGATCATTTCAAGCTGAGAAAGGACGTGAACGAATTAGCTAAATTATCAAGGTCTCACCCTGGGTTTCACCAAGGATTTTAGCTTTGCCTAGTAATGCTTATATACCTTGACTAGTTGGCTCTTCCGGATATAAAACCTTTTCCAATAGCATGTATGTAAAAGCATTTGGACATTTCTTTGTGGTGTGTGACTACCTACCAGAGCATTGTGGTAGCAGCAGTAACGTACCATAAGGAATGTCATTGTGCATACGATCTATTGTTTATTGACGTGCAGTACCCATTAAACGGTGAAAGTATTGTTTTGCCTCATCTGCAGTCCATTGGGATCTATCTGGAAGGCTCAATTGCTGACAAATTTCTTCAAAATATATATCATAGTTGTCTTGTGATTGATAGTCAACGTGTGCTTGCATGTATGGTATTAATATCCTCATTGTCAGTAAGAAACTTGCAATTGCGTGCTCCGATAGATTCTGGTAAAAAGTACATTTGGTCTGGAACACCAGCTTGCGTGTTGTAACGGGATCTTCTTATGTAATGGGTATTCCAGCTTGTACGTACCTGATCTAGACCTTGTTGTAATAGTAAAACCACAAAAAAAATTTCTGTAAATCATCACTTGAATCCAACTCCCCTCTTTCTACTATTTGTGAGAAAAAAATTCATCCACCATGTTGTCCAATATTTACGTAAATGGCTCTACCATGCTTCTATTCTCTGATTAGAAGTGGATGGCCCATATGCATGGGCTTTTAAACTTGCATGATCATCACCATGAGATCTACGTAAGAAGCACTGCATTGTCGCCATTAACGTGTTTTCAGTGCCTCTGTCGGTTCGTACCATTGTTGGATAACCCTGGTTCTGTTGGATGCAACGGAGGTAGTATTTAGAAATTATTTTTGGATCATTGTTGCTCTTGCAAACTACCATCTCAAACTCATTAATAATTCATGAATAAATTAGCCAACCATCTTGCTTTATTTCGTTCACATGATAATATACTGGATACCTGATGAAGTACTTTGATCCAGTCCTAGGACTGGATTAAAATTAATTCAGTCCTTGGACTGGATCAAAATTAACGAAGTAGTGATTTATTCGCATGAGATGTCATTTCAAATCCTCCAATTCGGACTGGACTAGATTTCAAGTCCTCACATTTTGATCCAGTCCTCTGCTTCGCCTCGGACATGACCAAATTGCGCGGACTTGAAATCTACTCCAGTCCTCATAGTCGGTTTTGAAATATTACATGCCAGCCATAGAACGCGACAACTAAAACCGTCTATACACCCATGTATTGGGAATCTATGCGGTTTTAGTTTGTCGTAACCATCTGCGTGCCAGCAGAAGTTTGGACCAAGGTTGTTATAATCTCTTCGCTTAAGACGGTGTAATCTACGTTCATTAGATCCTTCGGGATCTATTTCACGAAGCAGTCTTTGTACTACTCTTCGCGGCACTTTAACGTGATATTTCCTTCTAATAAGCCGCCACATTGCACGATATCCTAATAGGCACCCGTCGCCATTTAGTTCTTGTCTGATCAAGTGAGCAACCCTTTCTTCGTCTATTTCCTCTGGTGCATGTCTTCTGCTCAATCCAAATTGCTTTAAACCATAACAGACAGTTTTGGAAGACATTCTTATACCATGATACCGGATAAGAACTGGAGGATTACATTGTGTTCAAAACCCGAATGAAAATAGTGGCGTATAGCTTGTTCTTCGTTCAAATAGCGGGAATGAAAGGTGCTATCCCAATCAGGTCGACTTCTGCCATTAATACTTAAATTATAATCACAAACACCAACATTACTTGATAAAATCGGGAGCCCAGGAAAAACAATCAGGGGGCGGTTGTTTATAAGCCGGTTAGCTTAACCCTAGGTTAACTTTAAAATTCAAAGCACACTTCCTAACAGCTTGTTTATAAATTTGGAAATATTTCTTCACAAATCATATCTGGATCAATAGAAGTTTTCCTTTTTGACATTTTGAAATAAATGGACGTGCGGAAGTACCCAAACTAAAACAGCGGGCTAAATTTTAACCCTGGGTTAGCGCTAACCCACCTTTGAACAACCAGCCCCAGGAGGATATTATTTAATAGTAAATTAATTAAATTCCATTTAATAGATGTATTTTGACGGGTTTCGAATCTTTTGGGTTATTGCGAATCTGTGGGGTGTTTCAAATCTTTTGGGGTGTTTCGTATCTTTTGGGGCGTTTCGAATCTTATGGGGTGTTTCGAGTCTTTTGGAGTGTTTCGAATCTTTTGGAGTGTTTTGAATCTTTTGGGGTGTTTCAAATATTTTGGGGTGTTTCGAATCTTATGGGGTGTTTCGAATCTTTTGGAGTGTTTCGAATCTTTTGGGGTGTTTCGAATCTTTTTGGAGGTGTTTCAAACATGGGCGTACCGGAAAGAAAAAATTAGGGGGGCGGAAACAAATTCGCCCGACTTTTCGGGATTTTGCCCGACTAGTACCCAAAAATTTTTTCCGGAAAAATTATTTTGGCGACCTCCCCCCCCCCCGTCGCCAAAAAAATTTCGGTCAGTGTACCATTTTAGGGGTCAAAAATTTTTTCCGGACATACCAAAATTTTTCGAAACATCACTAAAATTTTCCAAAAACACAAAATTTACTAAAAAATTTACTTAATTTCCGACAAAATTTACAGGATTTGTGCCATTTATTTTTATTACAAACCAAAATTGCCCGACTGTTGATCGAATATTGCCCGACTGTCCAAAAAACTGGGGGGGGGCTATCGCCCCCCCCGCCCGGTACGCCTATGGTTTCAAATATTTTGGGGTGTTTCGAATCTTATGGTGTGTTTCGAATCTTTTGGAGTGTTTCGAATCTTTTGGGGTGTTTCAAATATTTTGGGGTATTTCGAATCTTTTTGGGGGTGTTTCGAATATTTTGGGGTGTTTCGAATCTTTTGGGGGTGTTTCGAATCTCTTGGGGGGTGTTTCAGATTAACCGTTGCAATTTGATTTGTATATTGAGGTGCTTTGTGACCCCTGGGGTGCAATTATTTTTTGTGGGGTGTTTTGCACATATGGGCCACCGTACAATATTGTGCCGTACATCTGGAGAGAAACCGCTAGCGTGCTAGAGAACATAGAACAGAGGAGCTGTGAACAATTTAAAACTAACCCAACTCAAGCAATTTGTCGCCAAGTTTGAACAACTTGTCCTCAATTGATTTATTTTATGTGTCTCCAACAGCTTCCAATTCACAACTAGAGGCAAGATAACTCACATTCCTAGTAACCACATTTGTACAATCATGGAAATAATATCCGTAGACGTTTTTGAAACGTTTCTTATCTTACTATTTTACAAAGCCATATTATTTTTAGTTAATACACAAACGTCGATAGTCGCTAGAAATAGTAACTCCCCCTCCCCCTAATACAATGTTGGTTCAAACCATGATTTTTGGACCACCAGTCAACATTGCAAAGGGGGAGGGGGGAAATTTTTGAAATTTTTCAATAGTCTACGAATTAATTTCCATGATTAAGGAAAACGTCGAATAGCACAAGGTGACTATTAACAGATCTGCATCGAAGATGTCGTACCAACATTGCCTGTATGCTCACAGGATACAGCACAACTTTCCTCGTCATTTTCATGCTAACTGACAATCAAGAACAATGTATTTATTTTTCCATCGATTGTCCGGATAGACTGTTGCGATTTTGCAAACTGTACATACTCGGGCATATTTTGTTAATTATAGGAGTCTAATGTCATGGGTGTTGTAATTAGGGAAATAACTATATTTTTTTAAATGCAAGATTTTCAAATCTGTTTGCTGACGTCCTGCATTTATAATGTGTCAAATAACTGGAGTATACTGTTATCTTTCTAGAATAATGCTTGTAAGGCGTTACTGGCAATTCTGGAGAGTAGAAATGATAGCGAGAACGCTGAAAGAATTTTGTGTAGTTTGAGTCCAAAACAACTGGTAAGCAATAATTATAGCAGCAAAGCTTGGTTTATTATTACAGCAGTTTCACGAGATTCGCGACCTCCCAACACAAAAGTTCACTGAAGTAATGTTTGTTTTTGACATGCGGCATCAGCTGATGTAATATAAGGGGCGGACCATTTGATTTTTGAGAGGGGGAGGGGGGGTTGGAAGATTCAGTCTGTGCAAGAATTTTTTTTCCGTCCAGGGGAACAAGACAGATATTTTTTCCTGTAAAAGTGCAGCGCAAGGTATTTTTTTCCCAATATATTTGGCGGCAGGATATTTTTTTTTCCTCATAATAACGGCTTACAGTAACTTAAGGCTTTCATATAACTATCGTCAGAGACGTAGCCGGGGTTTTCAGTCAGAGGAGGCCGAGAACTGAATCCCAAGAGGGGCCAAGGAATTTTCACTGTGCTTTATTTTATATGGTTATGTCTTAATGTTCCCCACACTAAAACATGCAGGTTTACTTACAAAAAATGTAGAACTGCACCAAAACCTAAAACATGCAGGGATAGAGTAGAGGGGAGGTACAGTACATGAATGACCTGTAACCTTGGGGGGTTCGGGGGCATGTCCCCCGAGAAAATTTTAAGAATTGAACCTCGGAAATGCTATTTCCTGCGTTTTCAGCCATGGATTCGTGCAACAACTTTGCTGTACTAAGCCTAAGGAACACTTACTGTCCTTTATTTTAAACAAGGGAAAATCACAAAATGAGCTTTGATTCAGTATGTAATAAAACAAGATAATGCGATTTTTAACTGCCCTCCAAAACAACAATGTTCCACCAAATATAGCTCTGTAGCTTTTCAATCGTTCATACAGATAGCTTGTTGGGGATCGGGTTGCATCCTCTTCAGAAATTTTTTAAAATCTTGACTCTCTAAACTGGCATTTTCGCATTAAAATCATCGTATATACAGTATACGTTCAACTTGCATCCTGTATATGGGCATTTGAAGCTTTAAAGTTTGGAGCTATGTTATCAAAAAACACACACAGACTCAACCATTCAAAAATACTTTTTCTACCATGCATATTAGATATGTATAAATAACTTATAAAAGAAAAGAAAGGCTTGCTGGGAATCACTAAAAAATCATAGTGATAGCGAAGGCAGTTCTGTACTACACTACTACATTATTTCAGCTTTCGTAGCGCTCTTAGCCCTTTTATCTTCACCATCGGCATATTTCCAACCTAGCTTAAGCTTCCATCATTAATTAGTGAATTTTTAGCAAGTATACCGTTGGATTTAATCTGTCTTTCTCCACACTAGATGCATGATATAATAGGGAATTTGGCGACATCGCCAATTGACATTCCTCATCGTTAATAGAGACCTTACGATGTAGGACGGCAACGCAATGACAACGGCCAGAATAAAATCATTCAAATAAACGATTGTAAAGAAAATTTGTAGACTATTATTGATCGTATCAATTTAATACTCTTTGGTTAGCTTGAAATAGTGGCTTTATTGTTGAGAAAATTCTACCGTAGTAATGAGCTAACTTGCTGAGTAACTTCTCGCGTCATGAAATGCTGGCGTTTTATCCAAGACGTAAAAGTCGGTACTCGCGGTAGTTTCCCGTTGTAAACAGACCTTGGATGACGTCTCAAACTTCCGTGGGATATTAATTATTCTTTTTTTTTTCTTAAATATTATGAATCTCATTGTATAAATAGCCGTCGTCGTCATATTGCCGTCCCACATCGTAAGGTCTGTAATATTAAAGAAATAAAATTAAACTTGACCTGACAAATTGAAGTGTTTGTCAATCTCACAAACATGTCACTGTTTAATATTTCAGGTGGAATCTTGCAAGAAAGTTTACGATCATGAAGGATTTAACAATAATAATGATTTTGAATGTGATATTTCACCTCGTGATGTTGGACACAACATTTATATCTTGGCTCATCAAGTATGTATACCATACCTATTCAGTACGAAGTGATTAGAATGTATCATGTGAAAAACCTAAAGTACATATACAACATTATAGCAATTGTAGGACTTGAAGTACTATTTAAAAAACGAGCAGGAGTGTTTTATTAGGTTTAAAGCCACGAGCGCGCAGCGCGAGTGGCTTTAGACCTAATAAAACACGACCCGCGAGTTTTTTAAATGACTTCAAAAACGTATGCATAATAAGTCAAATCTTTATATAAAAATCTTTATATAAAAATCTTTATATAAAAATCTTTATATAAAAATCTTTATATAAAAATCTTTATATAGTTTGCATAACAATGGTCTTTTGTTAAAGTGTTCTTTAGCTGGTATAAAGACGTATGCACATGACTAATTTCTTACTCAAGATTGGGTAATTGCTTCATGAATTATTAATGAGTTTTTGAATAAAATCTAAAGCGGATCAGAAATATTTTAACCAAGGATTTGAACCTATACAAAAGAGTTGAATAAAATGAAACGTTCACATTTTTCGAAACAAAGAGAAGTTCAACCTCGTTCCCAGGCTCTCCCTCCTCTTCACTCCTACCAGGGAGAGCCTGGGGACGGGGTTGAGAGAACTTCTTTTTTTGTTCTTTTTTATTCCTGCGACTCCGGTGCAGCGCTCTAACCAACTCAGCTACAGAATCCATTTGTCGAGCTATAACCACAAGTTCATGTATATATCAGGGTTCGAACACGAGCAAAACGTGAAAGTCCTTGAATGTCCTTGAATTTGAAAACAAAAATTCAAGGCCTTGAATGTCCTAGAATTTGTAAAGAAGTGCTTGAAAGTCCTTGAATTCTTCTTGCTTTAGTTTTTGGATATTTTCTAAAATTATTTGACATTCAAAAACGGACATTTTGTTGAGTTGAATTGATTTTGCATGATCAATGATCATATATCTGACAAAGCTGTTTGAAATTCACTAACGTTGCGTTTTGGACAATTCAACGTGTCATTGTACTGATTTCTAACGCCTTTTCAGTGTTTAGTGCTTGAATTTGCTGATACATGGTCTTGAATGTCCTTGAAAAGTCCTTGAATTTGACTCTCTCTGACATGTACGAACCCTGATATATACTAAGGTGATGCGAATGCAAGGTGTATGGGCAAATATCGGGATTTGGGACATCTTGCTCGATAGAACTGAATGTTTGATTCCTACCAGAAGGCCTATAATTGCATTAAATATTTTTTCGCAGTTGCTCCTTCAACCCTTAGAAACCCTTCAACACTTAGTTCTATCAAGTGAGATGCCCCAAATCCTGATATTTCCAGATATATCCATCTAGTTCTTGGATCAAGGTGCAGTAAGGGACAGACCATTAGAAAAGTGATGGGGGGGGGGGGGACAGAAAAAAAATCCATGCAAACAAAAAATGTTTGAAAAAAAATACATGCAAACAGACTTGTTTAAAAAAAAAATTACAAACAGAACAACAATAGAACTTTAATTTTAAATGTACATCAGACAAAATTGAACTAAATCTTTGGAATATTACGAAATATAAATATGTAATATATTAATATGCAATTTCTTTCAATATTAACAGTAATTCTTATATAGTTTTATTATATACTACCAAAATATTTTCTATTGTCTTTAATAATCCTCATTCATACTGCCACTGTCCTCGATCAGTGGCGTGACTACTATGGGCTCGGACCGGGAGAACCCGGGGGCCCCAACCCCAATGGGCCAAATGGAGTCCCCAGGCTCAGGCTATAGAGCAAAAACATTGGCCAGGGCCTCTGATATGTTACAATGTCGTTTTCTGACCATCAGAATTCTGTAAAATCTCTCCCTAAAGTCCGGGAAATGGTATTTCAGAGAATCTAGATTCAAAAATTTTCCGGGTGAGCATGCCATGGACCCCCTAGAAAACTTGTGCCTATATGGCGCTTGACTTGTGCCTTTGGCACTTCTACTAGGGGGCCTTCGAAAGTTTTGAACCGGGGGGCCCCTTATATAACGTTACGCCACTGACTGTCCTCTTGATCTACAACCACCAAACTACCACTTTTCCCTTGATTTATAATCGCAGTGCCACTACTTCTTGATCTATACAACCAAACTACAACTTTTCCCTTGATCTACAATTAAACTGACACTACCTTCTTGATCTACAACCAAACTACCACTTTTCCCTTCATCTACAATCAAACTGACACTATCTTCTTGATCAACAACCAAACTACCACTTTCCCCTTCATCTACAATCAAACTAACACTACCTTCTTGATCTACAACCAAACTACCACTTTCCGCTTCATCTACAATCAAACTGACACTATCTTCTTGATCAACAACCAAAGTACCACTTTCCCCTTCATCTACAATCAAACTGACACTATCTTCTTCATCTACAATCAAACTACCACTATCCCCTTCATCTATTAAACTGACACTATCTTCCTGATCTATAATCTCAATGGCAATATCTTCTTCTACATTTTCTTTTCCTCTACTTAATCTTGCTCTTTTCTTTTCTCATGTTTTGTTTCTTCTTCCTTTTGCTCATTTGTTCTGCCATACTTATATCATTAAATTATATCTGGTTTAGCCTAAAATATCCTTAAAGATATTATTTTGCAGTGTGCATTAAAGCGATCTTTTTTTGTCAAGAGAACAGTTTCGTTAACATTTGTACAGTTGTATTGGGAAAAAAAATTGCATGCGAGAAGACATATTAAAAAAAAACATGCATACACAGCTGACAACCTGGAAAAAAATGCAAACATAAAAAATTTACCCCCCCCCCCCCCCCCCCCCCCC